TGAGCTAGGCTGATGCCACGGCACTCACTCTAGCCTGGGCAGCACAGTGAGACTCTGTCAAAAAAAAAAAAAAAAAAAATCTAGAAGTGTCATACTGTGTACATGTTGAGGAATGCAAAAGAGGGGTCTGATGAGTGTTCGCTGAATTTAACCAGAATAGACTTACTAAAGGAGATCAGTTAATAAAATAATTATCTAAATCAATTATGTGTTTGACCCACAATGTGGACTTAATTTTAAAAAAACTTTCCGAGTACATTTAGTCCACAATATAGACTTGTTTTTTTCTTTAATTTTGCAAGCAAAGAATGGAAGAAAATATAGAAAATACAGGCAAGTAGAAAGATGAATGTATAGGACCTATAATTATACCATCTGAAGATAAGAGTTAATATTTTGGGTTATGAGTACTTTTTGCTATACACATTTATTGGGTTTCTTTGTTCAGATAGCAAGATCTCAGATTGTAAGGGATACTGTGATATCCAAATCCAGCTCATTCCTCAATTCAGGAGAGCCAGTAGCAAGTTTTGGTAATGAAGAACTTACGCAGATCTATTTGATTCTTGAGTTTAGATAGTTTGGATAGCAAGAATTCAAATAGCTAGGGATACCTCTATATTTTTTAGTATTAGATACACTTTTAAAAATGAGATCATATTCATGCATATGCAATAACAAATTGTAAGGTGTGAAATGACTTGAGGAAGTGATGCATCTTATCCAGGGTCTACTATGCTCAGACCATTCCTGAAGAATGGTGCCTGTCTTGCCCACAACCCTAGAAAAGAAGATTTCATGGCTTTTCTGAGAGTAACATTCCACAGGGTCAGCTCTTTGCCATGATATTCTTTCTTATGCTTCAGAAAAAATTCTGGTTTTAGAAATAGACATGGTCTATCCCCTCTCAAGTGCTTCAATCCTGAACTCAATTGGTGTAGTGGGAGCATCCAGTAGTATTGTGTATAACTGTGGTAGATCGTTTCCAAAGATGACTGCCAGCAGTTCTTCCCAACCCTGTACTTCACTGCCAGCTCCTCCCATCAAGAGAGAATCTATTTCTGCTCCATTTGGATCTAGGATCGCCCTGTGACTTGTTTTGATCAATGGAAGATGGTGGAGGTGATTCTGTGCCAATTCTGGGCATAGTCCTTAAGATGTATGGTAGCTTTAGTTTTCACCGTTTTGGAAGCCAATCAGCATGTGTAGAAGCTTGGGCTAGACTAGGTGGAAAGAGCCCTCTGGAGTGTCCCAGGCATGTAAGGGAAGCTTGTTTTAGCCCTAGTCGAGCTCCCAGTGCCTGTGACCTCATGAGTAACCCCAGCTGGGTGCACTCAAAACACAGACTGGAAAAAAATAATAAATTCTTACTGTTTTAAGCCACTAAGTTTTGGGGTGGTGTGTTATTCAGCAATAGATAACTGAAACAACAACACAGCCTCTTATACTATAAAACTCTTGGTATAAATCTTGGTCACATATAAATTAGTAACATATAAGTTGTGCTCGGTAATCCTGAGCACAAAATTGTTGTCAACCTATGAAGTAGCATGCTTTAGTGATAAATCTTTAAATTAATTAAATCTTCACATCATGTGAGAATATACCTATTGAATTAGTTAAACTGAAGACTGTGGCTATCTCGTACTCTACAAGGTAACTGGTTAAATAAAAAAAAAAATGTATAATTGGCTATTTGTATATGTGATTGTTGTTATTAGTTTTGTTTTTTTTTTTAGTAGAGACAGGGTCCCACTTTGTCACCCAGGTTGGAATGTAGTGGTACAATCATAGCTAACAGTAACCTCAAACTCCTGGGCTCAAGCTATCCTCCTGCCTCAGCCTACCCAGTAGCTGGGACTACAGGCACATGTCACCATGCCTGGCTATTTTTTTTTTATATTTCAAATTTTAATTTTTTTTTTCCTGTGGAGACCGGGTCTTGCTATGTTGCCCAGGCTTGTCTTGAAATCCTAGCCTCAAGTGATCCTCCTGCCTTGGCCTCCCAAAACACTGGGATTACAGGCATGAGCCACCATGCCTAGCCTTATTATCAGTTTTAAGTAAACACTTTGTGATGTGATTATCTGATGTGTTTTAAAGGAATTGCCAATTATTGAGATGATGGATGTGTGATGTTTCTCTTGCAGTTTGCCGTTTGATGAAGTTAGCACCATGCTTGTAGTTATGAATCCTTACAGGGAAAATGGTAAGATCTGCAGTGAACACGTGAATAAGACACGCTTTGTTTTCAGAGGTCAAGGAGCGTGAATCCTAAGCAAACTGTTATTTGTAATGTGTATGTTACAGGACTTTAAACAAACAAAATGATGAATTTTTCAGGAGTATTTCTGTCATTGCTCAGAAAATACCCTGAACAACTTTCTATTCCAGTTCTGATGAGAACAGTGTTTTTTTGTTGTTTTTAAATGTGTCTTTCCTGGAGAAGCAAATCTCACAGCAGATCAGATGGATACCTTTAGAGATTTATGGTCTTCATCTTCTGCTGGGCTACGTCTTACCATCTTGCTAGGTTTCCCTGCTTGGCGCTCTTTCCCATCTTC